CACACGGGTAGAAGACCCGCCCTAAAAAACCCCGAGCAATGCGCTCGTCCTCAATGCTCTCCCACGCTAGTATCACGATCTGTGTGATAATAAAAGCATCAAGTCAAGGCCCTTGACGGTAGGGAGTCCCTATTAATATTATTAGGTCCCTATTAATCCCTATTAATATTATTAGGGACTCAGTATTAATCCGACCAAGTTGAAGCGGATGTGATCCTGGACGACTATTGGTGAATCGATCGGCCAATCAGACGTCGTGACGACCAGTCTGTCTCAGAAAACATTCCCTGCCGTCTAGAAACCTGTCGAAGCCCAGCTTTTGCAAAACCATAGCCAATCCGAATCATCTCGAAGCATCGAGATGAGAGACGGGACGGGCGGCGCGGACCCGACCAACTTGGTCACCCCGAGTGATAGGACTGTACAGCTGGCAGCTTTTGCCGATGCAGCTCATTTTTGAATTTCCATTGTGAGCATCAAGCGATAACAGCAATAAGCTTCGGAACTTCCGATAGCCAAGACTACAAGGACTACACAACACACAAATACCTTAGACAAGATGACTCAAGCTACGTCTGGATACTCGGTGGGCATTGATCTCGGCACGACCTACTCGTGCGTCGGCGTGTGGCAGAACGACCGCGTGGAGATCATCGCCAACGACCAGGGCAACCGCACGACCCCGTCGTACGTGGCGTTCACAGACTCGGAGCGCCTCATCGGTGACGCTGCTAAGAACCAGGTTGCCATGAACGCAGCCAACACGGTGTTTGACGCCAAGCGTCTGATCGGCCGCAAGTTCTCGGACCCAATCGTGCAGGCCGACATCAAGCACTGGCCGTTCAAGATCACGTCCGGTCCCGGTGACAAGCCGCAGATCACGGTGCAGTTCAAGGGTGAGAGCAAGACGTTCCAGCCCGAAGAGATCTCGTCTATGGTGCTGATCAAGATGCGCGAGGTGGCCGAGGCCTTCATCGGCAAGGAGGTCAAGAACGCCGTCATCACGGTGCCGGCCTACTTCAACGACTCACAGCGCCAGGCCACCAAGGACGCCGGTGCCATCGCCGGTCTCAACGTGCTGCGTATTATTAACGAGCCGACGGCCGCCGCCATCGCGTACGGTCTGGACAAGAAGGGTGGCGAGCGCAACGTGTTGATCTTCGACCTGGGCGGCGGCACCTTCGACGTGTCGTTGCTGAGCATTGAGGAAGGCATCTTCG